CTTTTTTTTTTTTTTTTAATCCTCCATTGTTCTCTGCCTGGATCAGTTACTTAATCTGTCATTTCTTACCTCTTTGCTTCTTTTTTCTCTGTTTTACTCAGCACTAATGCTGGTCTTCTAGGGGGAAAAAATGCTGTATGTAGCATCCATGCCCTTGAGGAACTCAGTGAGTGAAAGAGATAGGGCATTTGGAATTCTGCACAATAGGATAACTGCTAACATAGAGAGACTACAGAACACTTTAGGCATCCAGTCATTTGCAAGAGATATTCTGACTGCTTGCTCTGTACCAAGCACTAGAACCATGTATTCATGGAGCCCATGCTTTGGTGGGGCAGCCAGAGGAAATCAGTGACTACAGCACAGGAAAAGTAGATGCTTATTTTAATATACATGGTTTATAATTGCTATGACATTATGAAACCAAAGGCTCAATAACTTGCATAAAAAGTTACTGAGTTAGGTAGGTGGGAAGTTGAAACAAGTGAAGACATAAGATGGGAGATCGCAACTAACAATCTGATGGGCAAGTGTATGCCATCATTTGCCCAGGACTTTTTTAAACCATTTCAAGCAGGAAACAGCTAGGACAGCTTGCCATTGCCTGGCATCCTACCCCTTCCTTGTGGGGGTGAGCTATATAAGAGTGTGTAGGTGCCATGGGGGTGGGTGGGAAACATGACAGCTACCCAGACGTGGGTTCTATTGAGCACTGGGCACCTGACCATCTCAAGTTTAATTTTGCTTCTATAACTTCCTGAGCCATTCCTGAAATAGGAAGGTAGAGCCATTTGGACAGTGTTATCTTCAAGGAAAATCTAGAGGAAACCCACAAAAAAAATGGTCAAATTTATATTATGGCAATATGGCCAATGGATTAGAGAAGAAAAGATTGGAGGCAGGAGGTCCATTAGAGTAAATCACAGTGATATAAGTGAGAGAGTCTGTCAGACTGAGGTGAGGGACTAGATCTGAGAGGTTCCAGAAGAGAAAGACTCATTAACCATTTGGTTATATTTTTGATATGCTCCTGATTCAAGGAAATGTAATTGGTTGTATCATTAATAGAAATGTGGAAAGATGTCAGAAAAGACACTTTTTGGCTCCACGTATGTCAGAATACTTCAGGTTATCCAGGTGGAGATGCCAGGTACCTGTAGATATGGACCTGGCGTTATGAGACAACTGTAGGCTGCAGCCACAGATTAATTTTCCCTGGCATTAAAGCCATGGGTGCAAATGACACCATTCATGCAATGTATGGTATGTTATGGAGGCAGGGGACTGGGGACTGCTGACAGGAGAAAACCCCTTGAGGAGCATGAGGAACCTTCTTAGAAACCTTTCTTGAACGAATAACATAAAAGTAGTCTTTTGACTCTAAGAAACCAAGACATCATTGCAAAAATTAAGTTCAAAGACAACTGTAACCAGTGAGATTCACGTTTAGCAACACTAATTTAATGTGATTCTGGCATTTTTCATTTAAAACTGTATGTCTGGTATTGGATTTTATTAAATGGAAAACCACAACATCTAGTCCTGGAGTTAAGCTGTCTCTGCATTTTGACTTGACTTCATCAGTTAGCATGATATTAACTAGCTTCTGGGCTTTGTTTGTTTAGGATAATAATCAGACTTCTAATTGAACATAATAGGAACCAGGCTTAGGGTCTGGTGAGAGCCAGCCAGAATGTGAAACAGACTGGCATGGCACCAATTGTCCCCGTGTCTGGCAGACTCCTGCCACCATCCACCTGCCGTGCTGTGACTCAGCCTCCCACCTCTTTTCTCTGTTTAGACCACTGCAGAACCTCCAGCTAGACAGCACATGGGGGTGTCCCTTGACCTTTACTTTGCACAGTCAGAATTATAAACAGTAACCCACACGCAGGCAGGAAGATCATGTGCGGCACTTGAAGAGGTGGGCGTTCAGATGATCCAATGTGTGCTAATATATGGAAAGACTGGATTATTGAAATGCAGCACAGAATTTAAAAGCTCTCATGTAGAACTCAGAATACCTCCAGGGATTTGCAGCAACCACTTGAAGGAAGACAGAGTTCCATAAGGCCAGAAACACCAGTTTCTCACTGGTGTTCAGACTCCCCCTCAGGTACACATGGAAAAGTCTAGCTAGCCTGAGCATTTCTTTTTCCTTTGCCGTTCTTTTCTTTGCCTATTTGTTTTACCTTTCCTTTTTTGTCCTCTTCTCTCTTCCTATGTGTATCTATACCTCCTTCTCTCATGGTAAGAGCCACCCCTTGTGATGGGCTTACTGTATGTCAGTGTTTTTGACATACATTTCACTCATGGATCAACCCCAGTGGGGTAGGTATTATTGTCCTGATTGAGAAAACTGGGTTTCAGAGAAGCTAAGAAGTTTGATTAAAAGTTAAGAAATAATGGGTTGAGCCAGGATTTGTCCCCAGTGTTCAATATCTATGGGTCCTCTCTTTACCTGTCTTTCTCCATCCTATGAGCTTCTGTCACAAAATGACCTTCAGGCAGCCATGGAGGCCAAGAGAAGACAATTTACACAGTGTCCCTGTAACTCTCCATTCTCCACGGGGCCCTCCATCCCCTAGTTATCCTCACTCCTCCCTGTCTCTGACCCAGACTCTGGGAGGCCTCAACTGGTCCCTTCTGGAGCATGGCAGGTGCGGGGAGGGAACATGGCAGTCGCACCTGTAAGGCATATCTGGGAAGAGCTGGAGATCCCACTGAATTTCTTCCTTCAGTTCCACCCTTCGTTTGTGTCCTAACATTGGGTCCATGGGGAGAATCTTTTCTTAATTCAGCACCCACAAAATACCAAGGGTCACCGTGCTATGCTCTCTTGCTCTTTCCTTGCTGGGTCTCCTCATCTGTCATGTCTTTGCTGCTAGTATTTCCTACTCACATAGGCTTACTTGCTGTCTGGCTCAGTTCAGGTGCAGTTTCCTCCTTCTCCACACTCCTGTTTCTAACCTCTTCCTCCTCCCCATTTTTCTTCCTTGCTCCCATTAGGATCTGTTTCAGGTACTGGCTCTATGATTACTCCCTTTACTCCCTCATCTTTTTTCCACTCCACCTTACATCTCTTCCCACAGGCACCCAGATTCCGGGTGTCTATGTGTCCTCCCTTCCTGATGCCTTCACACCATACCTTTCTCCATGGCTTCAGTGCTGTGCCCCAACCCCTCCAGATGAGGCCGCTTCTCTCTCTCTCCTCCCGCACTCACTGCATCCCTCTGGCTCACTCACTCATTTGCTGCAATGCTTTGGATGACCCACTGGGCAGGCACAGAAGCCTCTGGGATGGGGGAGATCCCTAGCTCCTATTCCGTCTCATTGTCATTGCTTGTCCCCCATGTCTCCCTCCTAGTCTGGTGCTGCTGGTCATCCTTAACATGATGCTCTTCTACAAGCTCTGGATGTTGGAATACACCACCCAGACCCTCACTGCCTGGCAGGGTCTAAGGCTCCAAGAAAGGTAATCCTGCTTCCACCCTCTCCTGGCCCCAACTCTACCCCACCCAGGCTGAGTCCTGCCTCCTGCCTTCCCTGGGACTGAATGCCCCATTGCCCTTGCCCAGGAGACAACCCTTTGGGTTATCCCTATAGTTTTCATCTACTTCCAATTTGGGGCACTGGGGACTCAGAGGCAGGAAGCAGAGGACAAAGCACTCTGATGTGACTCTCTGTCCTTTAGGGGTCTGGGAACACAGGAGAGTCCGCTGAGCATAACTCCAGCTGCTGGGGCACCCCTTCTTCTACCCCACAGGTTACCCCAGTCTCAGACAGAATGGGCCCAGCTCTTAGAGTCCCAACAAAAGTACCATGATACTGAGCTCCAAAAGTGGAGGGAGATCATCAAATCCTCAGTGATGCTCCTAGACCAGGTGAGATGCCCGCCCTCTCAGCTTCCCCTAGTTGGCAGGAGACAAGATCCTTCCTTTATGCTCTGAGAAACATCACCACCTCTATCACCAGCCTCCCACTGATATTTTCCTCTCCTTCATTCTTCTCCCTGGCCATTCACTATTCTAATGTTAAAGCCCTTCCTGAATAGGCTATTGGAAACAGAGGTACATTCCCCAAAATAACAATTAAAAAAAAAAATACATTGGATTTGCAGCAAGAAGGCTGTAGGTTAGATGGAAGGAGTACTTATTTATTTACTTATTTTGGTAACCTATAGTCATCGAACAGGCATTAAAACAACAAACTCCCCTTTTACATGTCTTCCCAGAGGACATGTCTAATTCCTTTTCGTCTATACCACCCCCTCTCTGACCCTCAAAGGCCCTGTACTAAGAAGATAACTATTGCCTGTTTTCCTCAGAAAACCTAAATCCAGCTGTTTTAAGAAAATCATCCTATGGCAAAAAAAAAAAAAAAAAAAAATCAATAATTAGCCTAGTTTCCTTGGGAGAAGGAGCTTCCTTCTTCCCTCCAGAAAAATTTAAGAATCTTTTAAAAATGCCCCCAGGGCATTGTCAAGACTGCAGGAATTACATTTGCTATCAAGAGAATTAGGTAGATAATAGACCTAGAATTTATCCTGCTACATTAAAATTTCTATTCCCAAAGAGGTGTCATTCTGATGTTTTGTACTTAGCTAGCCCTGAGCTGGAATCCCTGCTTTGCTCTAATTAGTTTTATGACCTGGAGCAAGAGGTGTTAACATAGCATCAGTTTCCTCATTTATAAAATAGGGATTGTGTCTGTAACTCAGAGAAACTGCCATCAGAATTTGATGGCACCTGGAAGACACTCACTAACATCAAACCTTACTTCCCCTTTATAGCTTGGTTTTGTGCTGAAATAAGGAGAGATACTCTCAATACAATTAATAAGACCCAGTTTAGCATGTTTATTAGAATACCAGGTGTAGCTCTGGAGCAATATTTAAGGAGGGCATTTCTGGGGGCAACGTGAGCACACCAGTTTCCAGACATCGGGATCAACAGGCGAATGGTTAGTTTACATGTAAAACTCCAGAGGTCTGAGTTAGGGCTACAAGTTACAAGGAGTCAAATTTTTGAGTCATCTACAGACTCCTCATGGTTAGAGCAAAGGAGTGGGCTGCTTTGGAGGACTGAGGTTCCAACATTAAAAGAGCTTAAGAATCACAAGATGATGTTGGACAAGGAATGTAAAAATTAAATGGGAGGCAGTTTGGAAGGACACCCCAGGGATCGCTTCCAATTCTAGATTTTTCATTTTTTATTTTTCTGGTTCTGAGGATTGAAATCAGGGCCTGGTGCCCGCTAGGCAAGCACACCCTACCACCGAGCTATATTCCCGGTCCTTCCAACTCTAGAATTCTGTTTCAAGGTGGTTCCCCTTCACTGGGACTTGGGCTGTCAGATTCATAGCCTCATGGATGCTATTGTGTGATGGACCCCTTCTGATTTCCCCACTGGAACTGCCCTATGTAGGCTCCATCCCATGAGGCCTGGAGGAGAAAGACGATTGTAAGCCAGAGACAGTCTGGATTTGTTCTGGGCCTTTACAGAAGGGTGAGATTGGAGGAGGCAAGGCTGAAAGAACAGGGTGGCAAAACGTACAAAGACAGGAGACAGAATGTTCTGAATCCATGTTAAGGAAGTGTTAGTCTAAAGTGGCTCCGCACAGCAGCCAAAAATGCTTAGAGAAGAGTTTCTCATTTCAGTGGTACTGAGGGTCACAAATCGCCAAGACATGGCAGGATCTACCTAAGGGCTTTCCAATGCTGTCTTAGTTGTCCCTACCCAAGACTGCGCCCCTGGAAACCCTCCGGACTTTAGAGTAGCCCTGTGGCAGGTGCTGCTGTATGGAGAAGCCCACTGAGAGCCCAACCTGGGCCTGGGGTGGGGTACCCTGTCTTGCAGATGAAGGACTCACTCATCAATCTTCAGAACGGCATCAGGTCCCGGGACTACACATCCGAAAGCGAAGAGAAGAGGAACCGTTATCACTGACAAGGCAGGAACAGGGGTGGCTGCAAGAGGCCTGTGCAATACATGTACATAGACCCTATAAATATATATATATGAATATATATATATACAGAATATAAATATATATTATATACAGATTTTAAAAAGAGATAATGCCTATGTACCCGGGAGAAGGAGCGGGACCTCCCGCCCCCTGTGCTGGCCGGAGCAGCGTTTTCCCTCGGTGGAGGGGCCGAGGAGGGCAGGGACCACCTCTCAGCACCGACCTCCCCTGATCCTCCTCCTCCCATCCTCTGTTCCTCACCCCTTCCCTTGCTGGCCATTCTTGGCTCTTAGAAGGGAAATGCCACTGAGCCAAAGTTATGCCTGTGAAGACCCTTGGGGTCTTGAAAGAAGTCTCAAGGGGGCATTGCTTAAGGTGCTTCATCCCCCAATCCCCTTTTGATTTGTTTCCAAAATAAACAAGAATCTGTTCTTCCCTACCCTCACGTTTCCCCAGGTGTTCTCTTGGACACAGAAGCATCAAGGGCAGGAGCCCAGTGTAAACTCTCCCGTAGGAGGCCATTGATATGGCCCATGCTAGGAGCCAGGTGGAGAGGACTGTGAAAAGCTAGCAAGGCTGCATTTGTGGGATCGTGCTTGGGAGCTGCAGGCTCCTGAGCGCCTGCATTCTGAAGGGTTTTCTCCTCAATCACCCCTGCACCTTGCTCTGACCTGTGTAGGGTGTGGACCTAATAAGGGCTGGGAATCTGTAATTCTCCCACCCCCTTTCTCTCTGGTCTTCACCCAGGCTGGATCTGGGTGAAGTGTCACTTTTTAGTGCCTAAAGTCCTATTGTTTCTCTGTGCCCTAAGAGCACATTGTTTATTAGCCAGGGTGGAACATTTTTTGACCTTGTTAAACCCCTTTTAGTGGTTAGAGACAAGTCGGGTCTGTGGCTCTAATTCTTTCACTTTGAGCTGTGAGTTTGATTTTTCTGGATGAAACAGGGTGTCCTAGGCCCTGGAGGGTTTGAGAGAGAGATCACCCTAGCAACCTATGGATTGCAGGGTCTGCCCTAGAATACTGTGTGAGTAGGGAGCACCAGTAGCCAAGCCACTCAGTGAGTTATGAACATCATTTACTCTTGGTAAAAATAAGCCTTAATCAGTTGAGATGACGAAGACACTGTGTGTGGTAGAACATCTAGGCCATGAGAGAGAAGGATTTGGCAAGGGTGCATTTGCTTGGGCAAGAAATAGGTAGGCGTATCTCGCCACTGCAATCCTGAGATTCTTGGGTTTGGGAGTGGGATTTCTGGTGGGTTTGGGTGCAAATCCTTCCCTGGTTCCTGGCCCCAGAGAGGTAATGAGGTCACTATGGAGTAGAAAGAAGATGGTAGTTAAGGAGCATGAGCTAGCTAGCACCTTTTCAGAGTTGATCCACGAGGGCCCATGCTTTCCTCTGGACTCATGAGCCCTTTCTGGGCACGTTCTTCATCCTTCATACATTCACTTCTGTTTCTCCTTATGATGACCAGGGGAGTCCTGCCAGTCCTGAGCATAGCTTATGGAAAATTGGTCATTTAAGAACTATAGCCAGTTTGGCCAGAAGAGCTTCCAAGCTTGTTCCATCTCTTGTTCCAAAATTAGGTTTTCTCTGTAATTTAGCCCAAACAGAAAGTTAGATCCCTTTCTTAGAATGGCCTGAGCATTTCATTTTAGCCATTTAAAGAATAGTTGTTGACCTTTCCATCTGTCTAAGAATAAGGCCTTGGTTTTTCCTCAAGAGCAGAATGAGAAAGCCTGAGGATTCTTTCCCAGGTCATCCTCTGAAGAAAGAGAATGGAAAGGCTCTGGGTGGTCAGCCAGCATTGATATCCCTCTTCTGGAAAAGTAGAGGTGAGGAAAACCATCAGTGTAAGGATGCATATGCCCAGATGGCAGCTGGTTACCCCTCAGTTCTTGTCCAGGACTTTCAGAGAAAGACATTGGTGAGGGTCAGGGCCCTTGAGCCCTGAGCCAATAAATGAGGAATGGTGCGGATGGATAGAAATTTTTCCCCTTGGGGTAGCCAAAGCCAACATTACTCCCCAAAACTCTGGCAAGCAGCAATTGTGAATTCTTAAATTTATTCCATGCATTATTTATATTTAAGTTATGTGACCACTAAAGAGGCCATGGACACTTTAGGGTGACTTAAAGGGGGTTCATTGCTGAGAGTAAAATGACCAAAGCATATTTGACCAGAGAGTTCATTGCTTTTGCTTTAACTCTCAGGATCAATCAGAGGAGGAGCAAGGAAGAGGGAAACTTAGGCTGTTTGAGGAACCCTCCTTTTTTCTGGCGATTTGAACCCAGGAGAAAAATTGTGCACACCAAGAGAACGTCCCCTAAGAGTCATGGCTCTTTCATGAACTCTTTGTTCTAACAATTGTTTTGGCTTTTAAATCAGGGTTGGGGGAAAACTATTCACTCCCCTGCAAAATCTCTTCCTCCTTAGTCAATAACTTGCAAAAGAAAAGTGAATTCACCCTCGCAGATAAGTCTCGGAGTGAAACAAATACATAAATACTTGGCATTAATTCCTGGCCAGTAGCCTGGTGAGTAGTTGTCTACAAGGGAGCATCAAAGCCACCACTGATTGTGTTATTCCTCCAGTCAGTGATATCTATATCTATAAATATACAGATACAACACAACTGTAGATAAAGATTTTTCCTTTTTTGCCTGTTTCTCTTGACGTGAGAATGCTGGGGTCACACAGAAGTCTTTCTGAGAGGATTTCATTCGATTCTAAAGAGAGGGCAGAGTTTCTCACCTGTTGAAGCACAGCTACAGGGTCTCAACTTCCACTCCAACTTACAGCGAAGGTATTTGCCAGATTGGCCTCAGAGAGGCCAGTCGTGTCTGCAGCCTTCTTCCCCTTCCTGTGCACCTCCCTGGGACAAGGGAACAATATCCAAGACTAGCAGGATCCTCAGCTTGACACTCTCAGCAAGAGAACTGGACTTGTTCTGTGTCATTGGGCAAGTCGCCCTCTGCTGCTGAGCTTCAGTACCCTCCTGTAACAGGAGTGGGCAGGGCTAGATTAATCCTAAGGCAGGCTCTAGCTTTGGCTTTGACTTGGAGGTTAGGCCAGAACCTGGAAAGATGGAGCTTTTTCAGTCTTGGAAGGTAGAGCTTCTCTGGTATGTAGTAGGCAGTAGGGTGGTTTGTGGGTTTCCAAGAAACCCAAGGTATTTAAACTTTTTTTTCTTAGGGGCTAAGAGGGCTAGGGAAACCCAGTGGCAGAGAGAGTATTGCTCAGTGTTAACCTAATAGGGTGTTTCTTTATTGGCCTAGTTTTAGTCTGAGAATGGAATTTTCTTTGAACCCTCTCGAAGCTGGGAGGAGAAGGATAATGGTGAGAAGAGCACCATCTTCAACTGAGTTCATCTGCCATCTTTGGCACTTTGAAGCCTTTCATCTCTATACCCTTCCTCCTCGTGGACAGAGGAGTCAGTGGAAAAAAGCCATTTCCTGTTCTAACTTTTCTCTTTGGCACAACCAAATCCTTGTTGGGGTTGGTTGAAGTATGAGGCTTGGCTAAAGGCTTGGGTTGTTTGGGGCACTGGCAATAAGAATTTAGGATTGCAAGGAGTGGAGTGGACCAAGAGACTTCAAGGAAAGCTATCTCAGAAGTGGATTATTTCCATGTCCCTGTCTCCCACTCCCATTTGGACTGTACAAATTGCCTTTGCAAACAGCATTTCTAGGATCAGATCTTGGAGAAATGAATAAGGAAGAATATTTCTGGATTGCTTGCAGTCTCCGAAGGGTCCTTTCTGTGCCATACCATGACACTTTTGTAGCTCTTCAGGGCTTTCAAAGATAGCTTGTTCCCACTAGGGCCCCCAGGAGAAATAGCACTTTTCTCTCTTCTCCCAGGAGGCAGGGCTGTGGTCTCCCTCCCTATACCCCTAGACCCCACCTGCCTACTCTAGTAGGAATCTCAAGGATGTTCTTCTGACTCTTTCCCTGCTCCTCCCATCTCTAGGCTGTGGGACAATCATCCCATTTACCCCTTGATATTGACATCCTCGACCCTCATCCCCCAACTTCCAGCAGGCTGGCCCTACTCCCTTCCACCTCTGTCTTCTTCCAGAAGATGCATTTTGAGTCCAAGAGGAGTGTTTTTCTGGAAGGCCATCATTCAACGCCCCTGCTTCCCTGATGTGGAGCAGGAATTTGCACATGGTGTAGAGAGCTCCCCCTCCCACCTCTCTGCCCAGCCTTGTTACCTCACTCCTGCTCCGGCCATGGCTGTGATGGGCCCAGCCAGCTCCCTGTCTTGGTGTTGTGTGTGACAGCTCAGGGGTCTTGTGACTCAAGGTCCTCAGCAGGCCTGGGAGCCCGGATTGGAGCCTTGGCTGCTGGTGAGAAGCACCTTGCCTGCCAAGATTTGCTGATGCCAGACGATCTCCCCAACATTTGAAGGCCTAAAGGACATTGTCATCTCGGCCCCTTGGCCCTCCTTGCTTCTCTCAACACAATAAGACATTGCAGAAACAAAATGGCGGCCTATGCTCCAGGCACGACAGCAGGCTCTGTCTGGGGACTTGGCCCTGGGTTTGTGTGCCGTGTGCAGAGATTGCACAGTAAAAACAACCATTTTTGCCAACAAGAATGTGTGGCTCCCCACATTCCCCTACCCTGCACTCTAGGGCCAGACCACTCTCTGCATGGACCAGACCATCTTCCCAAACCCATGGTGCTTTTTTTCCCCCCACTCAACCTAGACTCCAAGGTGGGAAGGGATGAATCAGAGGCCTTAGTGGCCCCTGGATAATCCTGACATGGGGTGGAGTGGGGTGAGGCAGTGGGAGGAGCCCCCAATACTTGCACTGGGCCATATGTGGGAAGGCTGATTGCATTTGAGTTGTCTGGCCATCCGTATTTGGATCTATAACTGTACTTTGCCTGGCGCTGTGCGCAAGGTCTGAAAACTTACTGCTAGTACCTAGAACCATACAAGGCTACCTAGCCAAATATTAATGTAAAGTAGCTAGAGCCATGGAAGTACAGTATGAATTAAAAGAAAAAAAAAGTATTGAATTCCAAATAATGAATAGTGTGTGTGTTTATTGCTTGATTCATCAGTTCCCATCATCCCGAATGTTTCTGGTGTTCCCAGCTATGCTCACAGCACATCCTGAAGGTGTGTGCGTGGGCAGGCATGCAGGTTCACGCACAGCCATCCACCTCCAGGCAGGAAAGCAGCCTGATCAAGTGCAATGGAGAAGTTTTGGAATCACACCCGAGTACAGATTGCAGCATCACTATTTACCAGCCATGTGGCCTTGGGCTCCAATTGTCACTCCAATCCTCATTGTTTTAAAAGTAAGACATATATTAAAAAGAACACATGCATCTCTTGGTATGGTGGCTGGTATTGTACTAGGATAATTTTTAATCTCCATCAGTAGTATTGTAGGAGTGTGGTGAACTGTGAATTCTGAAGTTTCTTTTTGTTCTTTTCCCTTTGGGGGATTTTGTCATTTTCCAGGAAGATGGCCACTGGGCGGCAGCTTTATTTTATGCCTCTCTTGCCACAAGTGGTGGGCTGAGATCCAGTGTGGCCCTTGCTTACATAGCTTCTTCCTGCGCAGTTAGCTCCATCTTAGGAAACTTGTTGGATGCCAGAAAAGAAGATATATTTCTCTGGTGTTTTGTGTTTGGGTAGAAGAGAAAGGGGGCAAGGAAAAGCTAGATCACACATTTAGCATATGTTTTTAATTGTAGATGATTAAATGTGTTTTCCCTTCTCTAGGCACATCCAGTTGGGTATAGGAGTTGATACCGATTGGGGGGTTAGGTAGAAACCATGCAGAATGGGGTGCTAGGAAGAAGCTATGCAGTAGTTACACATAGTAAGTAGAGCAAAACCAGAGCCAGTGGCTTTTAGAGACACTTTATTGACATTGTTTAACAGAGTTTACTGAAAAACACTACAAATAGGCATTAGGTTGTTGAGGGATAGGGTGGTGTCGGGAGCAACTTTTCTAGAGTTCAGAAAAAGACTGGCTGTGGAAAATCAAGAAAATGCCATATGAAGGTGATGATGTAGGAGATAGTCCCGCTGTGCCGAGACTGTTTTCTAATTGTGTTCCACAAACCTACCGGCACATGTCCTTCAGCAACTTCCCTCCATATCACATACACTGCTCAGTGGATGCAGTTCTTGCCCAGTGGTGACAGGGAGAAGACAGAGCAATACTGGCTCTGCAGTTTAGCTGGCTTATGACAGAGGTTGAGGCTGACCTGTAACTCAGGCTTGTTTAACAGCTAGGACCTTCTATAAAATCAAGTGAGGAAGCGAGCTGAACTAAATATGAGGTACATACCACCTTAGCTTTTAGAGATTAAGTAAGACTTAGATGATGCTCTTTTTTCAAGTCTAAGATCATCAGGCCTGTTTAGGGTCAAGGCTAGTATTCAACACAGTGGGTGCTGGAAAATGCAGAGTGAGTGGATATCAGACTGGTGAGCAAGCACATCAACCATCTGGATATATTTTCAGTGACTACATGAATTCACTGAGTTAGGGTTTTCTCATTTACAAAAAGAGCTGAGACGGGCTTTTTTCCCTGCCCCTCACTTCTACCATTTCCATGTGAAACTGGGAAAGTGGAACAAAAACATTTGAAATATGTCTAGCTCTTGCTTCTCCTTGTTTCTTGCAATGATGCAATCTTATAGACTTTTCCCTCTGATGTGTAAAGTAGGTTCAGAGATTCTAGATGTATTTTTCCCTCCACTTGAGACAGGGTTTCACTATATTGCCTAGGATGATCTTATACACATGGGTTCAAAAGACCCTCCCCATCCTCAGCCACCCCAGTAGCTGGGACTACAGGTACACAATGCTGCATCCAGCTCATATATTGCTTTTTGATGTAGTAGTTCTCGGGAGGAGAGGGATCCACTGTGTCTCTTTTTTTATTTTTTGGTACCAGGGATTGAACTCAACCACTGAGCCACATCCCCAGCCCTATTTTGTATTAGGGACAGGGATTCACTGAGTTGCTTAACACCTCACATTGCTGAGGCTGGCTTTGAACTCACCATCCTCCTGCCTCAGCCTCCCAAGATGGTGGGGTTACAAGTATATGCCACCACAATTGGCTTATCTCCTCTTCTTAAGAGTTCACCGCTCTACACACTTCCCAGCATATTTCTGATTTGAAAATTCCTTTTCTACTAATATTTCCAGTTCGACATTCAGGAGAAACCAGAAACTCAGAAGGATGTGTGGATGTGCAGATGTTTGGGGATAGAGAAACCAAAAGACAATGCTGTTAAACAGATTAAAAATGAAGGTTGGGAGAGGGATGGGAACTGACTGTCCAGGTATTTTCATGCAGAGGTTGGGGCTTTGATATAAAACCTAGATGGTGGTAAAGGTCTACAGGGCAAACTGCTCCCAGGACCTATAGAGTTGAGCAATCAAGTTCATGGCTGTTAAGCAGTAAGAAAGGGAAAATCACACTCAGCCTAGCTTGACCTTTAGTGAATTGTGTTACTGAGGATTAGTCATGGGAAACATCCAGCACCAAGACAACAAATGGGGTTTCTAAAGTGATTATAGCCCTTGAAAACTCTTCTAAGCCCTTTAATAAGTAACAACATACCAGATAAAGCTTCCAGAGCTACACGCTTTTAAGCCAAGATCTTGTATAGGAATACGTGAAGAAACAGGGAGGTGGGTGAAGACTTCACGCTGGTGATCACAGTACCTTATAGATGTATAGTCAAGATCAAGTCTCCCAGGAAGGAGTTGAATTGCAGTTTTGGAGAAATAATGATATACAAACCAACCAGAAGGAGAACCAGGGTGGAATGGGCTCTCAAAGCACATTTGTAGTATTTACCAAGAAGCAAAGTGGCAGAGAAGTAGGAGAGTGGGATTAGGGTGGAGAGAAGGTGGAGACATCTGGATAAGCAAGAGAGGCAGAGTCGGATGGGAGTTTTAAAGTAAGAAAAGAAGCAGCTGAGGTGTAAACTGGAAGAGGAGTCAGAGGACCTGGATTCTAGCCCTCCACTGATCAGCAAAGTGACCTGATAATCTAGTAAAACTACTTAACATTATAGCCTCCATTTCTTCATTGGTAACACTGACTCTTAAGAACATTCACCTCACTGGAAGAAATGGAAAAGAAATAAAATAAATGGAGTGAAAATGCTTTTGCATGCCAGGTAGCTCTTGCGAAGGTATCAAGGATGAGAAGTGTTGAAAATATTTAAAAAGAAACAAAGAAGATAACTTGTGAAGAATAAATGATCAGCATCATTCGGTCCATGAAAAATAATTTAGAAAACATCTAGTGTTGTTTTTTTTTAAAGAAAAATGCAATCATGCATACCACTTGGTTACAAATTAAATGCATGGTCCACTGGAAACAAGGGGAAAGTGGAGTAGGAGGAAGTGACTCGTTGCTGCTACAACCTCCCCATCAACCAGGCTTGTGATTGGGTAAACCTCCCACTGATTCAGGTCCATTTTCCCAATTAAGAAAAATGCTCTATATCATCTCCTTTACTTCAGAAAGGTGGTGTGGCAAATTACCAATAAGAAGGGTCTTGAATTTATTGCAAATGTTTTCTTCAACACATTAGACTCTTCATATGTGTTAAGGATCTTATTTCAAGTACGTCCACAGGGATGGAAGAGATGATGAGCTTGTCACGTGATGCCCAAAGCCAATGGAGAATAGGCTTTCAGATCAATTTCCCCAGACTTGAGGGCCTTTCTTCTTCTGGAATCCCAGCACTTTCGTCTTCTCATATCCCATAAAACCTCCCCCTCTCTTAGCACTAGGTGTGAAGGATATCACACATAGACACTTGGACCAGTCACTACATTAACAAAAAAAAAAAAAAGAGACACAATTTTCCCATCATTTTTCTGCTCTCTCAAAATTCAGAAAAGACAAAAACCAAGAGAAAACGAAAACACCTAAAAGTACAGATTCATACATAGGTGAGGTATTTGGATGCCACCTCCCCATCTTTCCCTTATCACTTTGTTCATCCATCCATCTCAGACTAACAAGTATTTTTCTTAGTTTGAATATTGTTCTCAGAGGCGATTTCCTCCTGGGGATGTATCGGATTCACACATCTTTATAGGAAAATTCTTCCCGTCTATCTCATGTACTTCTGTGTCTCCTTCCTTGGCCAGTTTCTAGTTCCCTGAATCTATCAAGGTTAACCTAAGCTGCACCATCCACCTCAAATCTGTGCTTGTACAAAAGGCATGGCTACAGCCCAGCTCAATGTCAAAATCTTTTCAAAAACAGAATAATCCATACTTTGGAGTGGAAACTGGGCAGCATCCAAAGCTTATCTCTGTATAGTTTGTCCTCTTAAATCTCTTATATGGTTGAGCTCTGTGTGAGCCTCAGTTGCCTCTTATAAAATGAGGACTAATACTGATCCACAGACACTTGGAGAGGAAGAACTCAGAAATTTCAGTCCCAATGCCCAGGTGGTGTGCTCCCCAGAAAGAGCACACATACATCATTCCAACAAAATCAGGAGTATGTTATATGGATTTTAAGAGCCACTTAGATTGTCCTGGGTCCTTCCCCAGACTCTTGTCCTTGGCTTCATTGAAGGACTGGATGCAATCCAGGCCTTAGAGACCTATGGGGGATCTAGTCCTGGAGTACTAAGCTCCAGAAAGAATTTTAGTCTATGTTTAAGGATCTTTGTCACTGAAGAACCTAGAGAGGCATGCTTCTCTCTGATGCTCTAGTCAAGTGGGCCACAAACTTGAAAAAAACTGACTTCAAAGAGTCCAAGTACATAACATGCTTTTGCTTTTACTGAAACTAATAACTTCCTTCTTCCAGTAAGACATCCATTCTCTTGAAGCAATGGAGAATGAGCCAGTTCCAGCCAGTTGGGGGAAGAGGGAAATGCTACCTCCAGCATTGGTATGGAGTTATTTGGAGCACAGGGAGAAATCCAGTTGGCACTGGAGCAGCTGGCTTGAAAGCGAGGATAGGCAAGGTTGACTCCTTGTAGATATGTTGGCTCCTCAGCTCTGGCAAAGTCTCATAGTGTGTGGAGTTCTGACGGAGTTAGGAAGTCAGAGGTGAAAGCTCAGAGGCGGGGGGATATATGATGAATGAGTAGAAGGATGGATGCAGGAAGGGAAGCAATGGGGACCACGGGGCACCTTCCTGATGCTGCTGACATCACGGAACCTGGGATAGCCAGTCCCTTAGTGTCCAGGACACCTACCAATGATAAAACAAATCACTCAGAATTTCCATCCCAGCCTAGTCCAGTCCAGCCCAGGCAAGTCCAAAGACACTGACCAAAAAAAGGGAGTGGAGAATTGTGCCCTTGTGACCATGGGCAAGGAGTTTGGCCTGGCAACACTCAGGTCAAAGAAATTCACCTTCTGAAGGGCTTGTCAGCATACAGAGCTTTGTGACTTAGTCATCAACTTAAAGAAGTACCCTGAGGGTAGGGATACCAGACCAGACAGAAATCCACTAAAGGGATCAAATTCAAGGTCATATCAGTTGTGGGTGACAAAGTCACTATGCACCCAGCCATCTACATCCACCTTCCCCTCCCAAGTCCCAGGACCTCACCTCAAGTCATGTCACTCCTATTCCTCTACAGGCACTGCAGAGTTCTCCTTGTTCTCTGAAGGGATGGCAAGGTAGTCAGACCTATAAAGGAAGGGAAGCGGGGAAGAGGACCAGTGGGGCTTGTGAGACAAGGAAGGAGCAGGGCACAGGCAAGGCTGTCTTCAGGACAGCTCTGCATTTCCTTCTGGGGTTGTTTCCAAGACAAAACTAGAATGACCCTTTCAACAGATTAGAATAATACATCCTCTCCTGTATTTGTACATGAACACACCCACTAGCAGTATCTGAGTCTTCTTCTTAAGAATCCACACTTCTGCAGGACTTAGCTAAAAATACTAGCTAAACTGAACGGAAATGAAATTATATTTTATAGTTATTTTAATTTTTATTTTCCTGATTATTGGTAAAGTTGAGCATTTCGTGTTTATAGGCTGAGTTCCTCCTTCAATAATTTGACTGTTCTTTTACTGTTTCAAGTGTTTCTTCTAAGATATTTGTTTTTTTTCCGCATTGATTTTTTCTTTGACGGTTTCATGTCTTGAAAATTTCCTTCAGTCTATTGTCTATAAATTTTTAGACGGATTTCTTTGGAATAAACAATTGATTTTTACATATAAGATAATGAGAAATGATCATATTTTCCTTCTTTGATTTGTACTTTTTGTATTTTATTAAAGAAATTCTATATCCAGGTAATACTGATATTCTCTTACATTCCTTAATAGAATTTCCAAGTTTCACATCTTACTTTGTCTATAAATTTACTCAAAGTATTTTTGTTTAGCATAGGAGATGTGGAATTTTATTTTATTTTTCCTACAGGGACAAGGAATCCTCCATCCACAACTTACTTGATAGTTCCTTCTTCTCTCAGTGACTGAAATGACATCGATTTTATGTATTTTTTTATACATTCATTAATCTTTGGGGCACTTTCTGTTTTGTTCTGTTTGTGCATTTTATACCTATGCCAGGATCACAAACTGTTTACCCTGATAGAGCTATAAGCAATCTTACTCTCTATTAGCTTCAAATTTGTTAGCTACTTCTCCTGAACCTAATTGTTCCTTCTTTGAATTGGCTTAGACCAGAGATCTACAAATTATGGTTCACAAGCTAAAAATGACTGTTACTTGTTTAAAGTGTTTCAAACACTCAAGAAAAACAAAGAACAATGGGTGTCAGAGATCCTACATAGCTTTGCAAAACTTAAAATATTTACTACCTGGCTGTCCTTTGGTTTAGATAATTTTTGGCCCTTTGACCTTTCATGTGACCCTAAAAGATCAGCTTATCAAGTTCCTTAAAAAATTCATGGAGATTTTAATTGGATTTCACTGAATTTGAAGATTAATTTGGGAGGGAATTGTTTTAATAGTGAGGATTTATTTTCCATCTGTTTGCTTTTTTGTGTGTCTTTCAGTAAAGTTTTATAATTTTCTTCTTAAAGGTCTTTCATATTCTTGCCAGATTTATTTCCAGGTATTGGATAATATTTGCTTATATTACAATTAAATTTTTAAATACATTCCTAAATTAGTTGTGGAATATAGGTGATTTTTATAAAGCCATGGGTTGTTCTACATTAGGAACATGTTCTGAGAAATAGATTGTTAGATGATTTCATCCTCATTGAACATCATAGAGTGTAATCACACAACCTAAAATGGCAGACACCACTGGATGACACAATTTATGGGGCCACCACAGCATATGCAGTCTGTTACTGACTGAAACATTATGTGGCACCTGCCTGCATTTAGATTTTTATAAGAAACTTGATGGAATGTTCTTACTAGTTCTAATTGCTTGCTCATAGATTCTCTTTGGATATTATATGCAGATAATTATATAATGGATGTGAGCAATGATAATTTATTTTCTTCCTTTCCAATTATTACCCCTTTTTCCCCTTTGTATTACTTAACATACTGGATAAGGTCTCCAATTCAATATTGAACAGAAGTGGGGAGAGATGATATTCTTGACATGTTCTAACATTATAGGCATTTCTTCCAAAGTTTCTCTCTTTTTTAAAAACCGTTGTTCTTTTCTAAAGTTTCAAAAGACAGATATCTTCTGTAGACTATCTTAGTAGCTGCTGTTTATTAGTTTAAAGGAAGTTGGTGTTTAGACATAGATTTATTTATTTTTATCCTGCTCAGGACCTACAGATGTTCCTTGACTTATGATGGGGTTATGTCCCAATATATTCACCATAAGTTGACAATATCCTAAGTAGAAATAAATATACTTAACATATCTAACCAACCAGACATCATAGCTTGACAATGTAGAACACTATAGAGAGATCTCACAGCTGACTGGAAGCTGAGCCTTGCTATTGCCACCCAGCAACGGAATTGAGAAAAAATTGAAATGCAAAATTTCAAGTAGTTTTGACTGAATGTTCATTGCTTTCACACCATCACAAAGTCAAAAGTCAAAAATTGTAAGTTGAGCCATCGTAAGTAGGGGATGAGCTGACTATGCGTCTTGCATGTGAAGATGCATCTATCCTTCTCTCAGCCACCTCTCTCTTATACAGGTATCATTTCTCCTGCATTCTCTGTTCTATTCTAATGAAGCACCTCATATTTTCCCCTTTATTTCTTGTTTTTCTATTATTCCATTCTGTGTAAGTCCCTCACATTTATCTTTCGGTTACCTGTATCCAATTTTCTATTGAACCAATCCATTTGATATTTTATTGACTACATTTTTTATTTTCAGAATTTTTTTCTGCCTGTCCTTTTTTTCCTAGCAACTTACCCTATTTTTATATTTTAAGTTTTTTTTTCATTGCTTTAACTATTTTAAACAAGCTTATTTTCTATACCTTCCCAGGTCCTTCTTATCTGAATCTCCTAGGACTTAAAAGTGACCTTATGTTATTTCTCTTGCTCATCTGGATTGTTTTCTTTCTTACTGAGGATTAAACCTGGGGCGCTCTACCATTAAGCTACATCCCTAGCCCCCTCCCCTTTTTTTATTACAGGCAGGATCTCACTAAGTTGCCTAGGCTGGCCTCTAACTCATGATACTCCTGAGTTGTTGGGATTGCAGGAGTATACCATCACTATTGGACTATTTTCCACAGTGACTTTTCATTTGGGGTTGGATTGTGAAATCCCTTCCAGAAGTAATTAGTCTACAGAATCCTACTGGACCTTGGTAGAGAAAGAGGGTCCCTTCAGAAGGGCTTTCCATTTGTTTCTATAGGACACTCCCAGTTATCACTGTCCAGGGGCTAATTTTTTACTGAATTTCTCAGCTTAGAGTTAGTTTCCTTGATCACGTGGATAGTATCATTAAGTCCCACATTTTGTGGGAAAAGGCTATGGTTACTAATTCTCAAGAATCACTTATTTTTCTGCTTGAAGTCAATACAACATGGATAGGTTTCCCTGACTTTTCTGGGGGCTGGTGGGCTGGTAATTTTCTGGTCCACCCTTTTGTGACTGGTAGCCCTTTGGGGATTCTGGCTCTGCTCAGAATCTTAGTTCCAACTCTGTTTCTTGTGGGGGCCCAAAGGTAGACACTTCTGTTCAAGCATAAACACTCCCTGTCCATGCACTAAAATCCAATCGCTAAAATCTAAGTAACTAAGTCACCGGGAATTACAACTTTCCTTCTTTCTACCCTCATATATAGTCTGTAGTAATTTTTATTTCCCTGAGATCATAGATACCATGCAAAATGAGGCTTTCTTGAGCAAACATTTCCAGATGGCAGCAACTTAGGCTTTTCAGATTATCCCCTCAGCAATGTTGCTAGAAATCTGCGGGTTGGTTTTTATCTGTCTTTTCCTGTCTTTCTCTCCCCAAATAACAGTCCAGCATGGTCTCTCAGACCCTTTGCTATAGACCCCATCATCTCTCCCACATGATCTCTCAAGTGACTAGGGTCGTGGCAAAATTGGCAAAGGCACAGGCTGGACATCAGAAGATTGGAGACCCTACTAGGGGGATTTGATCATGGTTAGACTCTAGGGGATGAACTCATGGCTTGGAGCTCCTTATCTCATAAAGGTGGGCTGATGAGTTCCATAGTATGCATGGAACACATATGCACACACATATACACTTGTATACATATACATATACACATATATTTAATATGTGTGTATTTATATATGTGTATGTATATATAATTCTGAGTCAAACAGCTGAACATGATGGATGTCAGGAACAGAGAGGTCTGGGTTCGAATCCCAGTCTCCGCACTGACTGTGTGTTCCACCTGGGCAAGCCATTTAACATCTCTGAGCCTGCTTCAACATTTATAAAATGGCCATAACATAATAATGCTAATTTTATGGGTTAGTAATGGCAGCCGATGTTCTTCACCTCAGTGGTTAAGTGTGCAGGCCAAGAGTCAGCAGACCTAAAATCAGACATTGCTTTGTCACTTACAGTGGCCCTTGGTGAACCCTGTATTTTCACCTGTAAAATGGATACAATAATGTTGCCTACCTCACAGGTAGTTATAAAGAGAAAAGTGAAAGGATGTGTATAAATTGCATAACACTTCAATTATCACAGCAGACACTCAGAAGGGGGTAGTTATCCTTATTACTTTAGCATCTTTGGACTTACGCATTTTCTTGGGCTGCTTCTTCAGCCTTTGAGACCTTTCTATAGCAATATATCATCTCAATGAGCAACCACAAGGTAAGGAAGACCAGAAGGATGTACATCATGATTTCTGAGACCACAGAAGTGAAGTCTTCCCCAGCTGCAAGAAAGAGAATGAGCTTCAGAATGTGTATGTCCCACAAACCCAGAGCTGTCTTTGGGGTTTTAGATCTAGGAAGCCTATTTTTAAGTATGACTTAAATAAGCACTGAGTCTAAAGGAACTCAGGAACATGTTCTTTCCAACTCAGGAAGATGTCAGAGGACATCTTCAAATCCTCTTGTCAGTTTTTTCACTGAACTTCACTGGCTATTCTGGAGATAGGGATGAGGGAGAGTGATGGGTGGAAGAAGTAGAAGAAAAGCAAAAGGAAACTTGGACTCAGAATTATATATACACACACATATGTACACACATATATAAATACACACATATTAAATATATGTGTATATGTATATAAGTGTATATGTGTGTGCATATGTATATATACATATGTATATATGTGTGTATATATGTCTATACATGTGTATACACCCCCACATACTTAGGGAGGGAGGAAGGGAGGGAAGAAGAGGGGAGGAGAATTGGGTCCCAATTGTACTACTTACTGGTTTGGAAACAATCATTTCCTGCATTGGAGTCTTTCTTAATTTGTAGAATGGGATAATAATTCACATCAGTCAGGGTTACTGTGAAAGTTACATTACCTAGTATATTTGAGAATATCTGTGTGGGCTGAGGGTAGATGCTTGCCTAGCATGGGCAGGTCCTGGGTTCAATCCCCAGCACCACACACAAACAGAAACGTAATAAGATGCAAAAATCAACACAAATGTAAGGCACATGTCTTATTTCAACCACCTATAACCTCTGAACAGCAGGTGATGGAGGTGATGTCCCCAGGGAGAGTGCATTGGACCAAATCTCCTCCATAAATTGAAGTACTTAATGAGTTTTTGTTGAATGAATGAATACAAATAAGTGTTGATCTGTTTTGTTCCACGATCAACAAAAATGACAATTAGAACATGATGCATGGCATACAGTCTGATATAAAGGAAGGAATTAAATTCAGTTTGCAATTATCCACAGAGTCAGTCCAAATCATCCCCAAAGCTTTGTTGGTTTAAACAAAAGAAAAAAAGCAATGACTTCTAGCCATGAACTTCATCTCAGAGAAGGTGGAGCTGGAAGTCATAGATGTAGCTTGAGGCATGTGTCGTCTCCTAGCCTGGAAGAGGGTTCATATTTATGTCTTAATTTATGTCTTAGAGACAGAAAGAGCTTAAACCAGGAAAAATTTAATGTGAACAAATAGAACCAGACAGATTCTCTGGGACAAGAATGGAAGAAATGGCATGTCACAGTGTCACAGTGGAGGGTGCACCTATGAGTCATGTGAGGGCAGTGAGTATTCAGTGTGGATAGCTGTCACGGGGTCACAGAGGCAAAAAGAAGGAAGAGGAAAAGTGGCAGGCAGTGGGGATGGTGGTGGAAGGAAAGGTGCTGTGGGTTAGCTTAATAAGCAAAAGATCTGGACCCTGGTCTTCCTTCTAATGCTCATTAGCTCATGTCCCTAAGCCAGCCCCTCTCTCACTCTCGTGGAGATCTGTTCTCCCAGGCACAAAATGAGAGGCTCCAGAACTGCACCCTCCAAGTACCTGAGGGGAGTCATTTTAACTTACACATACCAGAAATCACTCAAACCCATTGCACTCACATCTGCAAAGGTAGAATGGAGGAGCCTTGCTGGATTAAATCTCTAAGCTTCTTTCCAGCCCTACCATCCACAAGGCTCTGTGACTCTGTTAACCAATTTGTTTTTTCCTTCTCTTCTTACCTAAAGCGTGCTGCCGGTGCCTGACAGGCTGACTAGCTTAGGTTTGTCACATATTTCCATCAGATGTGCCCCCAGTGGTCTCTGGAGGCAAAAGCCTGAGGCCTGAGAGAGCAGGAGGTGGAGACAGGAACCTTCCTAGAGTCTGGCAGGTACCAGCCAGCAGTTCCTGATGATGAACAGCAGGGGGCACCAGGCGCCCATCCCCAGGGAGGAGCAAGTGTAAACAGAGGAAGATAATGGAACTTTTGAACAGATGCATACCTCAGAGAGCTTCCCGCCCTGTCCCCTGCGTCTCAAACAGAGGAGACACACTCAGAGTGGGGATGTGACTCATCACATCTCAATTCAGGTAGCCTGAGTGTTCTGCACATTCAGAAGTGATCTACCTTCTGCTTCAGTTATAGCGTCTCATTCTCTGTGGTTCACTCTCAACACTGAGGTCTTCACTTTACTGTTTTGACCACAGTATTTAAAAAGAAAAGAAAAAAAACTTGTAGTCTGGAAGTTAGGATTCCCGGGTCCCTTTTCTAGGAAGAGCACTGTCTTTAGCTTAATCTCTTCTTTCATGCCCACACTCCAGGGCCTATTCATCATCCTGCATCTCAGGGCAGAGATGATGCTAGCAACAGGCTGGAAATAGACCTCCTGAGAAAGAAAGGCATCTGACATGTGAAGAGGTACTTGCAAGGGGCTCAGAGCTGCAGTTCTCTGAGTCCTCTGACAGCAGCACCAAAGCAGAATGTGAGTGCCCTCAAAGTCCTCCCTCCAGGTTCTGGACTTGGAATGCAAGAGAAATATCTGATTTAAGTTGCTGAGAGGACTTCCCACTAACAAGAAATCAGCTGAAAGTTCTGCAGACCTTAAAGACTGAAGAGCTATCAACTTGTCCCCTTCTCCCAGCTGAAGATGGATTTATGCGAAGATGTCACAGCTGAGGAAGGAGTTGCATGTGTGATTATTGTGGAGAGACAGACAAAGATAAAAAGCTTGTCAAATTTTGGGCTCAGAGAGTGGTTCCCAAAGTGGGGTTCCCAGCAACAGCAGCATCCCCTAGCAAGTCAAAAAACCTGTGTACTAAAAAGGCCTGCAGAAGATGCTGAATGTTGAGAAACAATGATGTGGCAGTATATATTGCTTGTAGACAGGAGAGGATTTCTAGATAACATTATACAATTTCCTTGTACCCACTGAATCAGGGATTCCACACAGGTTAGAGAAAAAGGCATCACTAAATCAGTGGCTCTAGGCTTTGTGGAGGTTGTCTTTTTTCTCTGGCAGACCAAGAAGAGGTCACTTTACTGTCATCTCCAAGCCTTCCTGCTTTGAGGAAGGGCACAGAAGGCAGGTGGTGGAGTGTTTGCAGAAAGCTGGCTGCTCAAGGAAGATGGGTACAAATACATGGGTTTTGCACTCTCCAAAGGCTCTCATATCCTCCAACCCCAACCCAAAGAGTAGGATGCCCCAGAGACCCTGTGCCCCAGCCTCACCCTCCTCAGTGACTCGGAGGGGAATCAGCCGCGTGGTCTTCACAAAAGGCCGATGGGCCTCAAACTCAAACTCTCGAGACACGTTGCAGGTGTAGAGGCCAGAGTCATTCAGAGTGACGTTGAGCACTGTGATGGACACATCTTGCAGGTCCTTGCTCCCATTCCACTGCAGGCGCCCTTGGAAGGGGCTCTCCACCTCCTGATGGCCATTTCGATACTCGTAGATCTGCAGGTTGAGGAGAAGCAGGTAGAGCCAGGAGAAAAGGTAGGGCAGGACAGCCAAGATGGAATGGGATGGAGGGAAGGAGTGGGGAAATGAGAGGACCATGTGGCCAGAAGACCCAGAATATGGGGGTGCAGGGGAGGACACGGAAGGAAACAAAGACCGGAAGATGGACACAGGCAAATGGGAGGGGTAGGCAGGAAGAAGCTTGGCAGGAAAGATAAGGAGGAAAATGGGAGAACAAAAAAAAAAAAAAAGGTGGAGAGGCATACAGAAGACCAGGAGGGGAAATTGAGAGAAAGAAAGTATTGGAAGGAGATAGAAAGGGAGCTCAAGAGAGAGTGCCATGGGACAGCCAGCAACAGAACAAGGTGAGGAGACCAAGAGAGGTGGTTTCATGAGCAATGAAGACACCTGACAGTCTTGCGCTTAAAATGTGATCCTCTGAGCTGGGACCCACTAAAGGACTGTGGGGAAATCTGCACCAGGCCATAGGAAGGGGGTCTAGGACACTGAATTGTGATCTGCCAACCGAGAGGCACATGTCACGGCTTTTGCTTTGCTTTGGGCTAAATTCGAATTGAAATCTGCTCTCTTAAATGTCATTTCTCAGGCACCTTTCCTTCTGACATGACACTTTTGTTCTCTATAGCTGTGCTATTCGTTCTAGTCTCCACTAGCCACATGTGGCTGCTTAAATTCAAATTCCTAGAAATTGAATGCAGAATTCACTTCCTCAGTTGCACTTTCTCCTCATTTTGGGGAGGCCAAGAAGAAGGGTGGGCAGCTTGTGTATGACTGGGGCCTGTTGTCTACGGGGGCTTTTGGATCTGGCCAAGACCTCCAGCCTCCTGTAGGTGGGGCACTGGCTTCAGGGCAGCTTCACTGATGTGTCACTATCAAGTCTGAGCCAGGCTCAGGAAGTCTCTGCTGGTTCCTACATTGGCACCCGAGTAGAGCCAACCTACACCAATATGGCACATAGAACACAGGTTAAAGCGTTAAGAAGAAAGAGAGCAAGCAAAACTCAACTTCACCCTGCTGTTTGTTGTCTCCATTAAAAGTCTTTGCAGAGAAGTGCCCCCAGGAAGGCAAGACAGAACTAGACGGAGGCTTTAAAAATCTGCAGTCAGACCACATGGGTGAAGTCTGAATTCTCTTACTTAGGTAACATGTTTGAACCCCAATTTCCTCATTTCTCTCTCTCTCTCTCTCTCTGTATGTATGTATGTATACATTTTTATGTAGGTATCTGTGTGAATATATATATATATACACTCACACATACATCTTTTTCTCTGGGAAATACTTAATATAATGCTTACTATATTCCAGGAATCATTTTAAATGCATTAAGAATTAGAACTCATAAGTCCTGGTAACAACCCTATATAAGCTAGCTATAATTTATGTCCCCATTTAAAAATGAAGAAACCAAAGCACCAAGAGGTTGAGCAACATGACCTGGACCCAGAGCCAAATAGCATAGGGTAAAGCATCAACCCCAGGCAACCTGCTCCAGAGTCAGTGACAGTATGATGGTCATCTCTAAGGTAGTATTCCAAACATGCAACCACCACCTTATTAACTTAATCCATCTCATGGGATGGTGAGGAAGACAAAATGGACAGCACTGGAACAAACCAACCAGGACTGACATTGCTCATGGCACAGGTACAGAGTCAGGAGCAAATCCTTTAGTTTAAAATCCTTTTGCCAGGAGCAAATCCCTTGGTTTCCAGATCAAGGGGGAAGCCTGGGGATTCCCGGCGGGAAGGATGGAGGCATGACCCTGGGAGACAGGTTACAGCGAGTCTCCACTACAGAGCTAGCTAAGTCCGCTATGTACCTATGTGGTTGCACGGGGACACCAGCTGAATATCAACCATGGTCATCCCTGTCATTCTTATTTCATGGGGATGGTGAGAGTTCAAAGAGCTGTGTTATTTCACATCATGATGCTTCATGTTCTTTCAGGTTCTTTACTAATTTAGTCCATCTCATAGGATGGTGGGGAGGACAAAATGGACACACTTGCAAGAGGCCTCACAGGGTACCTAGCCTAGAGGAGGCTCTCAATAGGATTTATTTCTTTGTCCTCCTTCCCCTGCCTGTAACCAGGGCTGCTCGGGGCTGGACAAGCGCCCTCCCTTTCACAAAAGCGGAGCTAACTAAGACTGGAAGTTATCTCCTCCTTAGGAGCTGTCAGTGCTCAGAAGAAAAAGAGCCAGTGAGTGTTAGATCCTCATCTCACAGACTGTCAGGAGCCAGGCACACAACAGCACAGACCGGTAAAAGAAAGGCCAGAGCCAGCAGTCGGACATACAAGAAAATCTTTACCGCCCTCGGGCCTGTAGAACCACTCCACCACCGTGGTGGCCTCCACCTCCTCCCTCTTCATGCAGGAGATGCAGCGCAGCTTCATGGGGGTTCCCTGGACAGCCTCCGTCTCCGAGGGCACTTCTACACACACAGGGAAGCAGACGCTGACTGGAGGGAGCACAGAGGGCAGGGAAGGGACAGCAGGCAGTGGGAAGGGGAGCCACCAGAGGGAGGCATTGGAGGACAAGGAGGGAGAGAGAAACGACAGAGAGGAATCATTAGATAAAATTGAAAATACCTGTTTCCCTGAGTCCCCAGCCAAGTTCTCTAAGCATACACATATGCTCAGAGCAGGAGCAGAGCAAGACGAAGGAGATGTGAATGACCCAGACGTGGACTGAAAGCCTTCTCCTGGAAGCAATGAAGATGCAGCACGGGACAGTCTTGGTTCCTACCCTCAAAGTCTTAAAGTCTAGCGGGAAGATAGGGCATCGAGGGACCATCCACCCACCCCATCGTCACCCCAGCGTTCACTGAAGTCCACTCGATGCCAGGTCTATGCTAGGCTGGAAGTGGAAAGATGAACAAAATGGTAACCACAGCCTCAAGGAATTTATAATCTAGAAGGGAACCTGTTTCTACCTGTGATAAACCTATTCCTTCTGGGGAAGAGAAAAGAGGCAGTGAGTCTGAGGCTAGAAAGGTAGATGGACAGATCCCTGCTGTGAAAATCTCTGTGTGTCCTTTATAGTATGAGGCATCAAATACTCTAAAGGCACAGAGATGTAGCCACATCTGTGTTTTAAGAAACCTATGGGTGATTCTGACACTTGGACAGTGGAGCAGCAGTGGGGAACATGATAGTCTGACCACTAGGCTAGAAAAAGTCTCTCTGTAGAGTAGAGGGAGACTAGCTTAAAATCTAGAGAGATCTGATTATGGGACACTTTACATGCCACATGGAGGTTTAGACTTATGTTATGGTTCCCGCCTTCTAGATAAAGTCCATTTCAAGAAAAATATATCAGATTGTAAATTCAGAAAAGCAAAAGTGGGACACAGCTGTCAACAAAAACAAGAGCGAATGTGGGTTGCATTAACAGATGCACAGTGTGCAGAAGGAAGGAGGTGCAGTTCTTCTGCAGTGTTCAGAACAAATCTGGACTGCTATGATCAGTTCGGGATGCCATATTTTCAAAAGGAAATTGTTTGATGAGTGCATGCCCAGAGATGAACAAGATGGCAAGGGGCCCACAGACAAGCCTAAAGTCTAATAAGGAATGAATGGAAGGACTCAGGGTGGTAAGCTGGGCACGGAAAATATCTATCTTCAAATATTTGAAGACTGGCAGGTGGAAGAGAATTTGATTTTACCCAACTCCAAAGTTTGTAAGAAAAAATATAAGTTTAGCATAATAAAAATGGATTTTCTAACATTAGGATGGTTTATTAATACAAAAAACTATCTGGTATGGGAGTTTATCCTCATGGTTTGGAAGATTCAAAAATAAACTGACCACCAAGAATTCTTATATCAGGACTCCTGAAGTCTCCTTCTGAAACTGCCCCCTCATGAACTAATGATACAAATAGAACCTCTAAGAAGAAAAATAAACAACACACATTGACATTTAAACCAACTAGTTCATCATTAATGGTCAGCCTGTCCATCTACTGAAAGTTCAGAACTATAGGAGATTAAAATGAGACTGACAGAGACTAATTTTGCGTCAAAAATGTGTGGGCTGCAGTTATGGTTCAGTGGTAGAGCACTGGCCTCGCATGTGCAAGGCCCTGGGTTTGATCCTCAGCACCACATAAAAATAAATAAAATAAAGTTAAAAAAAATTAGTACTGTGGTTGGTTGAGAAGACAACAGATATTACTTCCATTTTTAAACTTAAGAGTTTAAAAACTAAATGACACTATAATTAAGGTTTAAACAGTCAACATAAGATAAATGTTAATTGGTTTTCAGTCTCTCAGGTAAGCTGGGCTTGTGTTATCTTGAGTTTGCACAAGGGCCTCGATGGTTTGATAGAGAGAGGGTCCACATCTAGATAAAACTGATCAGAAACACTTTCAGCATGTGATGAGTTTAAAGTCTTGATCACAATCCTACTTAAAAAAAATAAAAAAAGAAAGGTATTGTTTGTGCAAGTTTGTGAGTGTACAAAGGGGCAGAGGGCAGGCAGCAAGAACTCTGTGTAGCACAAAATCTTGGAGTCCATTCATATTTAAAAAGAGGTGATAAAGGCAAGTTCAATGTCAATGATCTCAGAAGCAGGACAGGTAGAGTCCCAAGGAAGACATGGTTATGACTATAGAGGTAGGAAGATAATGGTATTTGGCTCCTGAAGGAATGAGTTTGCTCCACAAACCTTTGAGACTCAGTATCTTAGGTACTAAAATGCTACAAACAATATCTGTGTAGTGTATAGACCATGGAAATTCTATGGATTTGTGTGAATGCATTTTATATGTCACTTATTAATGTTATTTTATCCTGCATTTGTTTTCTTATTTATTTATTTGTTTGTTTTTGTTTGCTTATTTATTTGAAAAAAATGTATTGAATGCCCACTGTGTGCTGGGCATTGTTCTAAGCTTAGAATCTCAGTTCTCATGGAGCCAAATTCCAGGGTAAGAAGAATGAAAATGAACTACATTATATTGTAATAAGTGCTGTGAGAAAAATAAAGCACAGGAGAAGAGGGAGGAAGGGAGAGTGAATGTACAAGGTCGTTGGAGGTGACCTCACTGAGAAGGTTAACATCAGACAGTCACTGAAGGAAAGAAATGATGGAATGAGCCACAGGGACACTCGCTCATGTAAAGTCATGCCAAGCAGGGGAAGGAGCAACTTGAGGGTTCAAGGATCCAAGGGTCCAAAGGATTGTGCTTGTCATGTTCACTACACAGCAAAGACAGCAGAGAGCAATCACTGCTCCTGGGGTCCTGGATAGTACATTGCAAAATAGCCACAAAGCCCTCCCTTCTCATTTGCTTGCCCTTTGCAATATGACCTCCTGTTCCTTCTGTGAAGAGGTCAAGTCTATTTTTCCCCTCCTGAGTCTCCAACTCACCACCTCCTTTCTTTCTATTGAAAGCAAGCTCTTTGCAAAGAGCTAGCAATGTGGGAAATATAGCAAAGGAAGTAAGCATAACGGGGATGAGAGTGGTAAGGGAGGTCAGGGCAGGATTGCAGCCGGATCTGCAGGCCACATTAGAACTCTTGACTTTTGCTTAGAGTGACATGGAGAGCCCTAGAGGGTTCTGAGTGGAAGCATGGTCAGATCTGATTTGTACTAAATTCATGATCAGCCTGATGTGTTGAAAATAAATTGGAGAAGTGAAGGGGGACAAGAGTGGAAGCAGAAAGAACAGATAGGAAACTGGCACAGTAGTCAGATCGGAAGATGATTTTACTAAATGAAGATGATAAAAGAGATAAAGGGATTTGAAAGGGAATCATCTGCTGGATTAACACTGTTGAGTGGGTGAAAGAGGTGTTCTTTAGTGACCAAGTAGATGGGGTGGCCAAGACAGGAGCACAGTTGGGCCATTAATAGTTAGGGGAGGGAAGGTGGGATCTAAGCCGACAGGACAGTGAATGTGTAACAGCAGCCTGTGCAGCAGTCCTTCTCTTTTCAGTGATGATAATCCAAGGTATCTTCAGAAGGCCCAGGGCTGCCTTTCTCCTGGCCAAAGTCCACACTGCTCCTGTGGTCCTGAATAGTACATTGCAAAATGACCACAAAACTCTCTCTCCTCATTGGCTTGCCCTGTGCAATATGACTTACTGCTCCTTCTGTCAAAAGAAAAATCTATTTCTCCACCCACAAGTCTACAGTGCACCATTATGTAACACTGTAGGTATGCTGTAGGTATCCAAGGAAAGATTGTACATATATATGGCAGGAGCTCAACTCACATTGCTGCCTATCAACGATAAACTCCTGGAATAATATTGGCCAAATCATTTGACCTTTGGACTCTTCTTCAACTTCCATAATAATAATGAAAAAACTCAAGAGAAAGAACACTATGATGCATTCATTAATGATGATTATATTCAACTCATCTGTTACCTCCATATTTTTCTCTTCCTTGGCCATTGTCACACTGCCTTTTCTGGCTTGCTCTAGAATACTTCCTCTGCAATAAGGTGATGAAGGTTTTAATTAAAATGTAAATAATTTCCGAAATGGGGTCACAATTGCAATTAGTTTCAGATGTTAACTCCTGAGGTCATCAAATTAGCCTGTCATGTAGCAGGGTCCTGAAGGAATGAGGTCTAGGAAGGGCTATTAGGGGAACAGGAAAAATTCCCCAACACAGGGGACCAGTGGGAGAGTAAACCTGAAGAAGTGCACAGAAGGCAACAGGAGCTAAGGGATGGGTGAGGCCTTGGGAATGGTGATGGCATGTGGAGGGGGAGAGAGGGAAGGATCAGAAGAAAAATGCAAGGACAGCAATTGTGCACAGCTGCACTTGACCACAGAGAAGCCACAGAAGACTGAAGTCAGAAGACTGGATTCTCTAGCCGTCCTTTCCTCTCCCTAAGCTTATTTTCTCATCTCTAAACTGGGAATAATATTCCTTTCCCTTCAGTACCCTGTAGAATTGATACGGGGACCAAAAGAAGTAATGAATTGAAAATTGCTTTGAAAACTGTGAAGCATCAGGCAAGTGTAGGTTTAAAAATTCTTATTATTAATATTATATAATTTATAAAGAGAATAAGGGAGCTTTTTTTCAATACATGCAGCAAGTAAATGGAGAAAACCCTTTCCATTCATACTGGCCATCATGTAAAAAATCAGCTTGAAAAAGAGGGGACATGTCTAGCTAAATGCTTTCCAGTATTATAATTACATGCTAATAAAATGAAATTGCATTTGTGAGTGAGGCTCTTTCTCTTACATTTAACAATGAGGCATCCTGAACTCCTCTTTACCTCCTGCAGTTTCTCAGTCTGGTGAACCAATGTTCATGTTGAAAAGATGCCGAGAATGAGCAAGGAGAGATGTAATGTGGTCAGATTTTCCAAAGTTTTGGGGGGTGGAGGAGGGAATGGGCACTCCAACATATTCTAGCAATAGTCTGTAAACATTTCCCCATCATTCAGTTGTGAAACTGAAAGGAATATTAGATGTCATCTATGACAACTTCCAAACTTTACATATAAAGAAACAGATTCTCTTAGGTTGTTACATAGTATGATAGAAGCAACAGAGCAAGTCCTAGTCAAAAAAAATAAAAAATAAAACAAAAACACCTGGACTACAGTATGCTTTCTCATTCCAATGGAATTCAGACAGGAATGCTAAAAACTTAAAGTCTGGGAAGAAAACCTATGCAGACTTCACCCCAACCCTTCTCTACAACTTTAGCTTTATCCACACTCTCTCTTATCCTGCCAGACTATAACCACTCCTAAGCCTCACAACCCTAGCATTTCCCTGGAGCAAATCTCAGCCTTAATCTTCAAGGCAGGTGAGCTCATTGGCAACCTATTATGTCTGCTTCATCTCTAAGTCTGGTGTATTCCACTGGGAATGGATGGCAGTAGGACTGCCCTTGGGGCTGGCATTACTCTCCCTCCTCATCCTTCTTAGCCTGTCTCATCAGGCTTTTTTTTTTCAGCAGGAAGCTTGGTTCTGCCTTTGGTCACATGCAAAATCCAGATAATGCTGGCAGCCAGAGTTAGATCCAGAGACTGGACAAAGATACCGAGGCAAAAAGTCAATTCTCATTAGCATGTCTGCCACTGCACAGGCAGAATGAGTTTCATGCCAAGCATGGGAGAATAATCCAGTTGTCTACTTTTAGTCAGGGGGTGGGCACAATCCAATTATCCTTTTTATTGATTATAGCATGGAAGAAGGTAGCAAAGATCATGTAAAGCAATTTACCAACTAAAGAGACCCTGTTAGATTTAAGAATATAATAAGAGACACCAAGGCTGAGATGCCTAGAGCTGCACACACATACACACCCACATGTTCATACCAGTCCATTCAGATGTCTATATTAACATGTTCAAACACATGCTAGTGCACATTCAGACACTGAGACTCAGAGACACAAATATCATCTCTATCACATAGTAAGACATTATCACATAGACTCTTAACTCCCTTTGTACACATTCAGGCACCCCACTTCAGGCCCATCCCTTGACATAGCTCTGCTCAGCCTTACTGATGTCAAGTGTAGGAGTAACTTATTTGGAGGGGGGCAGGTCATCTCAGTATCTCACAACTGACAAGTTTATTCATTAAAAAACCCAGCTCCCCAAACATCAAATCATCTTAGCTCCACAAGTGTACCAAAACAACAACAAAAA